GTGAAAATACTGTACAGAGGGGTTACAATTACATGGGCAAGATAATGAGTACATTTCTTATCAAGCATTGCAGCCTCCTCCTTTGTTTCCCCTTCCCTTCTTTTCATTAGTGGTGCCTGTCCTTGTAGCTTTCAGGAAACCTTATATTGAATCCATGTGACAGATGGAGCTGCTGTGCATGAATGCTTCAGAGAGATGCTTCTTTGAGTTGCATGTGGGAAATTTTCAGTCAGGAGGTTTCCAAAACTAGTTAAATGTAATGAAGAAGTAGCAAAACAGGATTATAGCTACTTAATGTGCACATTTGCTTCCTTGGAGGGACATGTTTGCATTTTTAAGATAGCTCATAGAAATAATAATAAAATATCAACACAATAGAGAAATTAGTTTTATTTTTATCTGTTTTTTTTTTTTTTTTTGTAACACTCAGAGCCAGTATGAGTGCTGACTCACTGTTACTCACTGCTTTTTGGGAATAAATTAGGATGCCATATAAGTCTAGAATATTTCATCAATCAGTTTTGAAGATACAAAGTTTTTAATTTAAACTGCTTTCTCCTTTATAGCAAAGGTTGGCGGCAGACTCCGGAGGCACTTCTTTTTTTTTCAGTAAAATCTTTCTACTGCACACTCAAACTGAAAAAAAATAATCCACTTAATATTCCCAGAAATATTGTTGACAATTTTAGTTTTTCAAAGAAGCTATACATTCCACTTCTGCATCAGCAGTTAACAAAAGCAAGCACTAATACTTATGTGTCTTTGATTTTTACTTAAAAATACTGGCCCAATAAGTTATTTACATTTCTGTAGAAATGTGAATGTTTGTCAACTTGTGAATAAGAACTGGCAACAAAATTAACTTCCGAAGATCTCTCTGGTGCATTGTGCTTCTGATGGTTTGTAATGGATGTCAGGTTAGGGCAGATACTTTCTGTACTCCCTGTGTGCTGTCTCGTAAGATGCTGTGCCACTTAAGATCTGTTTGCTGTCTTTCTAGTGACAAGAAGTTGCTTGCAGAAGGGCCTGGGGAGACAGTGCTGATTGCAGAAGAAGAAGCTGCTCGTGTGGCACTTAGAAAGCTCTATGGGTTCACAGAGAATAGAAGGCCCTGGGACTACTCCATGCCCAAAGAGAACTGCAGAGCAGAGCAGAGCCACACAGCCAGCTAGGCAGCTGGATGTGGCGCCCTGGGCCACTATGTGAGTAGAGCAACATGTCAGCCGTGCTCTGGGACAAACTACCGTGTTCTTAATGTTAAATCTGTGTTCATATGGTCACGGGAGTGTGCTGTGTTTTGTTTTTAATCCTTTTTTTCCCAAGTTGATACTGTTTTTGTTTTTTTTGCAGTTCTCCCAAGAAGTTTCCTTCTAGTCCTCAGTTTAACATTATATAATTATACATGATTTGTACAGTTCGGTGTATTTTCAGTTATAAATATATACCACATGTGAAATTTGCTGTAGTACCAATAAAAAAGTTATTCTTTCTCTTGGTGTTACATTGCAGTTTATGTTCAGGTGGTAGGAGAGTGGTAAACTTTTGCTGCTTTTTTTTTTTTTTTTGATCAGTCGTGGGGCTTGAACTCTGGGCCTGGCGCTGTCCCTCAGCTCTTCAGCTCAAAGCTAATGCATTTGAGCCATAGAACCACTTCCAGTTTTCTGGTGGTTTATCGGAGATAGGAGTCTCGTGGACTTTCTTGCCCAGGCTGGCTTTGAACTGTGATCCTCAGAACGCAGCCTCCTGAGTAGCTAGGATTACAGGGCTGAGCCACTGGTGCCCAGTGAACTTTTGCTTCTTTAGTAGAACTTTGAGATAGTAATGATAGTAATATTTCTAGAAATGCAAGATACAGATAACTATTTTTATGTGATTTCTCTAGTCTGGGTTTAATTTTTTTTGTGTGTGTACTTTGAATACATTTCTTTTTTGGGGGAAGAACAGGAGAAGGCATAGTTCAGGGGTTTGAATTCATTTGTTAGGCAGATACCCTACCACTTAAGCCACACTTCAGCTCTCCTTCCCTTTATTAGCTTTCATTATTTTTCAGACCGAGTCTTGCTTTTGTCCCAGGCCAGTCTCAGACCACAGATCCTTCTGTGTAGCTGAGGCTACATGCTTGCGCTATTACACCTAGCTCTAATGTATTTCTGTAACATAAATAGCAAATAAGTTTTATGCTGCAAAAAATTAAAAAATTCTAAGAAAATGAAACTTAGTAGTAGTTTAAAATGTTTTTGCGAATGGGAAAATGAGTATTTAAATAATCTATAATTACAATAATAGCTGCTATCTATCAAGTACTATTCTAAGTGATTCTGGTAGAGGGCAGATTTTTAGAGTCTTTTGGTTCTTTTAGTATTTTGTGTTTGCTAATCTTTTAAATAACTGCAAATTTCCTTTGATTTACTTATTTTTACCTTGTTAGCAACTAAGAACTATTTGCAGTTATTATTATTATTTTTTTTTGGGTCCGGTCGTGGGGCCTAAACTCTGGGCCTGGGCACTGTCCCTCAGCTCTTCAGCTCAAGGCTAGCGCTCTACCACTTGAGCCACAGTACCACTTCCGGCTTTTTTCTTTTTGCTTATGTGGTGCTGAGGAATCGAACCCAGGGCCTTGTGCATGCAAGGCAAGCGCTCTACCACTGAGCCACCTTCCCAGTCCAGTATTTGCAGTTATATAACCAGATATTACTATAAGGATGATGTACAGGGGGGTTGCCATTTCAACAAAGAAGTTTTAAAAGTTCAGGCTGCCTGTATTCATACCTGTTGGGGTTGGGAGTGGAAGAGAGGGGAAAAAAATGTTAAAACTTAATGCACTTTTGCTATGAAATCTTTTTACACAGGAAGATGAAGGACCTGTAAAAATCCTTTCCTGCCACACTGGTTGACCCTTCCTTTTTCTTTCTAAACATGAAACAGCTTGGAGATCCAGGAAGAAGAACTTCTGGGAGAAGGTTAGGACTTTTCCTCCCTTGCGGCCACGCGCTGAGAGGGAGGAAGAGAAGGCCCACATTGGATGAGCTTTTACATAGGACTTTCAGAACCCAGAGGTGCACAGTCTCATGCTCTAGAAATAGCACATTTGTGTCTTTGGCCTGAGAAGCAAGGCAGAGGCCACCTAACAGAGTTTACTGCTTTGGGGTGGGCCAGGCCACCCCCACAGTGACTGAGCAAGGACCAAGCTGGGGTCCAAGCCTTGATCTCATTCATTTGCTCACCCAGCCAAAAATCACTATTAAATCCAAGAGTGGAGATGTAAGGCCATCCATGAACATTGCCAGTTGGGAAAGCCTAATGGAAGCAGCAGGAAGTGGGCCTGAAGCAACAAGTGATTACAAAAACCAAGGAGCTTATTGACCACACAACTTCCACACAAGATGTGGGGAAAGCTGATTCCTACCCCTGATTAACGGCTTATGTTCACCTCAAGTCTCCACAGCTCTGGCTTCTTGAAGATAAGCAAGAGCCTGCCTGCCTGGGACAAAATAGTTTATTTTTGAGACTATAAAGAACACATCATATGCAAGCTAAGATAGGGGAATAATGGACTTTATAGATTTATGCTAGTGTAAGGAACTTCCAAACTGTTGGGTTTAGCGAGTTCAGTGATCCTGCCCATTGTCCAGACATAGCCCAACCCGCTGTTGGGACTTGAGACCTGTGTGACTGGATATATAGCTGTCACTGGAAAAGATGGGGCTGCTTTTGGATGGGGAAAATTTGAGAAATATAGTTGGTTGAATTAGGTTTAATAAAACTTAATTACCATTAGTGTGTGTGTGGTGTATTTTGGTGCCAGTCCTGGGGCTTGAACGCAAGGCCTGGGCATTGTCCCTGAGCTTTTTTACTCAATGCTAGTGCTTTACCACTTGAGCCACAGCTCCACGTCTGGCTTTTTGGTGGTAAATTGGAGATAAGATTCTCAGACGTTTTCTGCCTGGGCTGACTTTGAACAAAACCATGATCCTGAGATCTCAGCCTCCTGAGTAGCTAGGATTACAGGTATGAACCACCACCAGCCTGTGTGTGTTAAAACTCCTTCAATAACTGAACACAAAGGTGGAGGATAACACTCAGTAGTCAAAGCACAACTTGCCATTTGTCAGCCACAGTAAGTATAATCTGATAAGCACCTAATTGACATAGTAAGAAAAGTCTACAATGAAAAGCACAAGACAGGGCCTTCTAACTGCCACAACCACCTAGCATATTCAAAATGTGAGCTCTATCTACAACCACCTAGCATATTCAAAATGTCAGCTCTATCTACAACCACCTAGCATATTCAAAATGTCAACTCTATCTAGAATACTATGCTAGTTTTCATATAGGTGGACTTTAAAAAAAAAGTCTTCAGGGGGGAGGGGGGGAGGCTGGGAAGGGATGTGAAGGGTAAACAAAGGAGGAGGCTGTAATGCTTGGTAAGAAATGTACGCATTATCCTGCCCATGTAATTGTAACCCCTCTGTACAGTAAGTTCACAAATAAATTAAAAAAAGTCTTCAGAGAATTCAGTTGCAAATTTAATAATCCCTCTTTCCCCCACAAGTACTGCAGAAAATATACCCCCCACATTTCTCATGCCTAGAGCAGTTTGCATGACTAGCCTACGAGGTGGGGGGGGGGGGGGGGGGGGGGGGTGGGGGGGGGGGGGGGAGAGGATGGGAAGGCATGAGAAGGGGAAAAAAAGGGGGGGGGGGGGGCTCGAATTTATTTCCAAGAGCTCTGAGTGTACCTTCCAGGTGGCCTGTCTGAGTTTCTTATGCATCCAATCGGGTGTGTCTTTGAAGGCAGCCAGAAGTCATCACGCAAACAGGCTGGCCCAAAGTGTTTCTACCCAGAATGGCTTTCAGAGCAAGTGGCCCCATAACTTCATTATAATCTCATCTGCATGTGAAGTGACAGTTGGCAACGGCCATAGTGACAAGTAGAACCATGGAAGGAAGGGACAGGAGTGGTCCTTGAACTTCTGGGCTATCTTTGCCCATTTCGAAGCAAGACGTGGATATCCCTCCCCTTTTCTATGTCCCTCCCCTTCATAGTTGTTGTTTGTCAGTCCTGGGGCTTGAACTCAGGGCCTGGGTGCTGTTCCTGAGCTTCTTTTGCTCAAGGATAGTGCTCTACCACTTAAGCCACAGCACCACTTCCAGTTTTTTTCTGTTTACTTGGCACTAAGGGCTTCATGCATGCCAGGCAAGCACTCTACCACTAAGCCACATTCCCAGCACCCCCCCTTCATTTCTTTTATACATTTCTTTAACCAATCAAGTTCCAGGATTTAGGATGTTGATTTGCACTGGATGTGGTCATCTCAGCTTGTGTGGGAGGCTGTAGATGGGAAGATCGCAGTCCAAGTAAAGGTTGGACAAAAAAATAACGAAAGCAAGAACAACCTCAGAGTTATAGCCCAATCGAAGAGCACCTGCCAAACAAGCTTCAAGACAAGTTCAAACCCTAGTAGTGCCCCAAAGCAAGCAAGCAACTAACCAACCTGTTTGTGAGTTGGTCTTCCACTTCTATTTAAGAAGGAAGTTCTCCTTCACTGTTCAATTAATGCTCAGTCTCTCCAAGCTGATTTAGTTTGGAGGGAAAAACTGCTAGCACTTTAAGTTTTAAAGCTTCTAAATACTGAATGCTTCTAGGCTGACAAAGACATTTAGTGTGAAAAGCTACATTGCAGGTAAAGAGATCCATATCCCTTAAGAAAGAATGTGATTTCTCCACATTTCCATCTTGGGTTGTGTATTTTAAAGCACTAAAATGGGATGGCAGGAATGTAGGAAAATTAACATACTTTTTACAATTCCCTCTGAAGCAGTTGGAAACGTGGGACAATGCCTATGACTTTAATGTCCCCTATAAGAATAAACTACTTAAATTTGGTATATGGGTGAAAGAATATGTGAGGGACAGAGATGTTGCTAAGAGGGGTAGGTGACCATTTGGGGTTGTGTCTTTTTAACTGATGGCTATTCCATGTTGTGATGAGTGTCCCAAAAACACAGGAACTTGTTAACATACAAAAACACTGGTACTTAAACTTGGCTAGGCACCAGAAAAGAACAGTAATTAATTGCCTGATCTGTAGTTCTGAACCCCTTTCTTCCTACTTTACGCTCTCTTTCCTAAACCCTAAAACTAAACATCTCAAAAAGGTCCCTTGGGGGGAAAATGCTAATATTGAACATCTACAGACTCAAACACATAAGCTATGTTCTTTTGTATTCACACTGTATTTTAGTATATGGATAGATGAAATGGAGAATATTATTCTTAGTGTCTTATATGGCTAGAAGAGAGTGGACTAGACATAATTCTGAATAAGAATGGAACAAATTACTTTTTTGTTTTCAGTGCAGCACTGATTTTGACCACAAGATGGTGCCATAATCCCACGACACAATTTGGGGCATGCAAAACCTCGGTGGGAGAACACAGACAAGAGTGTGTGGCACAGGATTACAACAAATCAGGACACTTCCAGGCCCTGTGCAGTGCTGCTATTTTGTAAGTACACATGAAGACATCCACCTTCCCTCACCCCTTCGAAAAGGCCTAAGATTTTGATATATGGAGCATTCATTTCTAATGCCAAGATATTCATAGGGAGGAAGAAAAACTGCAGGGATGCCAAAGATAAAACCTTTAATAAAACCAGATGTGTACAGATAGTCTTCCACTGGAAGGCCCTCAAACCCTTCCTGCAGCAGCCCACTGCCTGAGGCCTGCCTCCTCATGCTCGTTTTGTCTTTCTTCCCTTCAGCTGGTCCATATGACCTCTCTAGTTCTCTTAACTGCTGTCCTCTAGGAGTCAGAACTGTATGTATCTCTTGACTTTAGATATCAGAACACTTGAAATCCAAGCTACGCTTCATGGACTACCAAAGAGCAACTGCTTGATTTAATCCAATCTTGCAAAGCAGGAATGGATCATGCAATCAAAATCCACAATCAGGGGTAGGAAGGTAGGCTAGTGGTAGAGCGCTTGCCTTGCATGCATGAGGTCCTGGGTTCAATTCCTCAGCACCACATAAGTAGGAAAGGCCAGAAGTGGTACTGTGGCTCAAGTGGTAGGGTGCTAACCTTGAGCTGAAGAGCTGAGGGACAGCGCCCAGGCCCAGAGTTCAAGTCCCACGACCAAAAAACCCAAGAAACAACAACAAAAAACCCACAATCACACTCCTCTAAAAAGAAATGTATTAGCACTTTCTGTGCTACCTGCCTATGGTCACTTGTTATTTACCTGATAGTATTTGCCAACATTATAACACTAATGGGTTAAACTTTTTTTCTGGGAAAATTAGCGAATTAGATACACTCTTAGTCTCTCTTGCATTGAAGAGGAATTGTATTACTTGATTATTCCTTTACAAGACATCTTTTTTAGATCTGTTGTACATTCAAATTGCAGATGAACCAATGAGATTATCCTATTCTGGTCCTCCTGAGGAAGAGATGAGTCATGAGACAATTGAGAGCCAGAGAAGGATATTTCGAAGTCAGAGAAGTCTGCCAGTCTTTGCTGATGTTCCCTCTACGTAAGCTGACATTAGCATCTTCACGCCAATAGTGGGTCAGTAAGGGCCAGAAAGCATCTAAGAATAAGTTAATGAGACAAAAATAGTGAAAGAGGGCTGGATCCCATTGTCTCATATCTGAAGTTCTAGCTGTTGAGGAGGCTGAGATCTGTAGGGTTGAAGCCAGCCTAGGCAGAAAAATGAGTGAGATTCCACCTCCAATGAACCAGGAAAAAGCTAGGCTGGAAGCATGGCTCAAGTGGTAGAGGACTAGCTTGGCAAGGAAGCCTAGAAACACAAGGCTCTGGGATTAAACCTAGAACTGTGAAAAATGAAAAAGTGTAAGGTCAGATGTCCATGATCAGATTCAGCACCTTGATAATAATCTTCAGGAGGCCCTGGCAGTCTGTCCCTAGGCCTCAGTTCCTGACCCTGAAAGTTTTTATCTAGGAAGGACAGCACAAAACCTGGCTGTACTTCTTTTTTTTTTAATTTTTTTTTTTTTTTGGGTCTGGTCATGGGGCCTGAACTCTGGGCCTGGGCGCTGTCCCTCAGCAATTAAGCTCAAGGCTAGCGCTCTACCACTTGAGCCATAGCGCCACTTCCGGCTTTTTTCTTATGTGGTACTGAGGAATCGAACCCAGGGCCTCAGGCATGCAAGGCAAGCACGCTACCACTGAGCCACCTTCCCAGCCCCCTGGCTGTACTTCTTTTACTTTAGTTTACATAGATTATAAATCTCAGATAGGGCCTTAGAGGACTAAGAAACTTAGGAATGATCGTTTTTATTTTGTCACTTAATATATAATTTTCAGACAGTAACCAGTCATGTACTTGTACAGTGATTTTTTTTTTTTGATGTGTGTGCTGGTGCTGGGGCTCACCGACTTCCTGTCTGAGCTGGCTTCAAACTGTGATTCTCTGATCCCAGCCCCCTGAATAGCTAGAATTACAAACATAAGCCACCAGTGTCTGGCATTAAAAAAAAATCTTTAAGTAGTTGTACAAAGGAGTTTCAATTATACGTGTCAGGGTGTGAGTACAATGCATCTTGATCATTGCCCCTTCTTTCATCATTCTTCTCCATCTCTTCAACGTCACCCATGTCCTCAAATCCACAG